CATTTTTTATGTAGTTGTTTTTTTGTTGCCTTTGTTGCCAGCTGCTTATCGAAGATTTCAACCACAGGAATTTTGCCGATAAGGTGTGGTGAGTTATCAAGCGGTAAAATAGCAACAACAAGGCCAAAAAAAAGAACTCTCTCAATTTTATCCTTCTCTGCCTTTTTTTTTTTGGTTTATTTCCTTAAGTATATTTTTATTGTTGTGGTAGATTTCTTTTCTTTCACCGCCGCTACAGCAAAAATAGGAATAAAGCTCTTGTTTTTTCATAATGTTTCTTACTGCATCAACACTGTTTGAGGAGAGTAAGTAGAGCGTTCTAGTGAACCAAAAATCATTGAAACTGTTCTACTCATCGGTTTTCTTAGATTGGTTCAAAAATGCAGAAAATAAAGTTTTTTTTTCTCCCGCCTATCACCATTTAACCAAAAAATTTTTATTTTGTTCTGATAATCCAAATTCTTTTTTGCTTAACTTCAAGAACTGCCGTAAAATGGAATAATCCGATGGCTTCTTCTCAATCAGCCCAATTCTGTTCTTGTCAGTCATCGGTCTAAGCAGCGAATGCGATACGGATAAATGGAGAAATGATGAACTGACAGTGTCAGTGATGAATCCTGGAAAAGGTGGAAACTTTAATAGAACAAAAAACAGCATTTAAATATTTATGTATAAAAACACATTATAGAAGTATCAACGTATGAACATATAACACCATATGAATGAAACAGTATAGCAAATTAAAGGCTAATAGCTTTTATCTTCGCATCAACATCATTTGCACCCATTATCACCATCACCCATCATCATCATCATCATCATCATCATCATCATCATCATTCATCATCATCATCATCATCATCATCATCATCATCATCATCTTTCCCTTTCCCTTTTACTTCATCTTTTTCTTCCTCTTAACTTCAAAAAAAAAAAGAAGCATTTTTTTCACAGGTTAATGAAACCAGTTTCTAAGCAACAAAAATGGAATGGGAAAAATGAAAAACTGAAGAATCTTTTTCTCTTTTTGTTTTGCTATTTCATCACTGTTGTTAAAGCATTGGAGACGACATAATACGTTACGTTTTTAAAAAGAAATTACAAAACTGTAATAGTCAAAGAAGAAAATGAGAAGAAGAATTGTGAAGACATGTAAGAGAAAATTTGACATTTCTCTCGCCTCAAATAGTCAGTGCTTTGAGCTTAATGTTCTGCCAGCTACAGCATTCAAATAAAACAGTTTCTGAAACGCTGAAATGGAACTTTTCTGATCTTTTTTCTTCGTCTTTTACTTTTTTTTCATATTTTAGCTGCTAACAACCAATCTGACAGTGCACTTCGTCTTCTCACACCAAGCAGTCTTTTGCTCGTTTGCATCCTGTTTTTCTGCCGGTCTCATTTGAGCATAAATTACCCCTCCCTTCAGTAGACAAAGCTGATGCTAATGTCGGCGATTCAGAAAGATAAAATCAGACTGCTTATTTTCCTACTTATGTGGTCAAAAGCAAGAAAAGGCAAGCGAAGAAAGTTGTCTGGTCTGTGGAAAGAAGAGATGGGGAGAAGAATTCAATATGTGTTTTTTTTTTTGGGGGGGGGGAAGGGGGGAGAGTAAAGAGGAATAAAAATTCAAATTAAAAAAATTCTTCTTCGTTCCTTTCCTTTTTTTTTTGTAAGTGAGAAATTTCCCAGTAATCTGTGCAGACGAAGCTTTTCCTTCTTCACTCTTTTCCAAAAAATGTTCTATATTTCAACAGTGAGGAATAAAATGAAACTAAAAAGGGCGATTTAATTTAAAAAAAAACATTAGGCAAGGGATAAGAGAAAAACATTGGCCAATACTTTCAGGCAAAAACCCAAGTGTATTCAGTCCAGTTCACTTCAGTTTCATTTTCACTTTCAGCTCGTAGTTTTAATGAAGTCCGCGTTAGTTAATAGGTGTTAAAATTTTAAATCTTGAGCAGATCTTTTGCCTCTGTTTCTTTTTTCCTTTTTTTTTTGTTTGTTTGTCGACGAAATTTTGTTCCAAAAGTGTTTTGGATAATCAAATGTGTATGCCACTTTATTTTCACAAACAAACACTCTCCCTTTATTATTGTTTTCCTCTAAGTTTGCAAAAAAAATGTCATTCTAGTGATAAAAAAGTAATAGAATGAGATAGTAGTTTAGTTGATTAGTCAGTTAGGTTGATTAAATTAGTTATCCATGCAATCAGTATTTGGACAAGAATGTTGTGATTTTTCATCCCGTATTATTTTGGCGGGTAGCTGCAAAAAAAGTAAAGTTTAGTTTGACATATAGTCATCTGTTTGTGCGTATTTCCTTCCTTACCTTTAGCTTAATGAATGAAATAAAAGCAAAAAAAGTCACCTAAAAATCACATCGATATATATCAATAAACCATCAAAAATTCCTGTTTTTTTGGACTGATTATAATTTCTACAACAAGAAATGAAAGGAAAAAATGACAAAACAAAGAGCATTTTTTTTGTAAAAAAGGAAAAAAACAATCTATTTCAAACAGCAATCGATTTTTGTAAACAGACATCACCACTGATAATGTTTCTGTTAAAAAAACAGAACTGAACAGACTCAAAACAGCGGTGTTCCTAACACCACCACTATTATCCCGCTATAACCAACAATTTTTCACCATCAAGACCATCACTGCCATCATCTTCACCCCTACCACACCACGGGCACCACCACGGGCACCACCACCACCACCACCACCACTACCAGCTCCATCACTACTAGCACCACCACCAATCCTTCTAAAAGCACCATATCAGTGGCTGAGTTACGAATCAGAAAATAGACAAAGTCTTGCTAAATGCTGAAAGCTTTTTAGAAAACCCCAATGTGTACAAAAATAACTTCACGATGTCTAATAGTGAAAAGGTAACAAAAAAACGAAGTTTCAACATTGTCAAGCAGAAGAAGTTGAAAAACTCAAATATTATTTTCGCATTTATTTTACTGACGAATACTGACGCATTTTTGTGCTTCGGAACATAAATTTTTCTTCAATCCTCAGCCGCATTTTACTCAACCTTTATTTCGCTAGCTTTTTTTTTCGCTAATTTCATCCAGCAGTACTCAGCAACTGTTTCATAGAGAATCGACTAACCCGGTTACATAATAACGCGCACTCTTGTTTTCGTTAATTAATCTTCTTCCACTACCAATCCTTTTTCCGCTGTCAATGCCATCAACGGTGTATTGCCATTCAGTTTTTCCTTTCAAAGCTTCGCTGGATACCAATTTGTTGCTTGTTTATCATACCCAGAAAATAGCAGCCGCACATTTTTCGTTGTTGACATTAGAGACCTCTTCTATAGTATTAACGAGTCTGAAAAAATTCAGAATTATGTAAACCGAAACCAAGTCACCTTAATCAGTTTGGGTTACGTAGCGTTTCTGTGTGAATTCAATAATTCCGCCTTAGCCAAGTAGTCTAAACTCTTCCGCTTAAGATCACTGGTAGCACTATTAAATCTCAAAGTGAACAAATAATGAATATTTTTTGCGGTTTGCAAATGTTTTTTAAGGCCTTCGATTTTCCAGTCAACAAGAAGTGCTGGCGCCTCCAGTCAAAAAAAAAAAAAAAAACGGTGTAAGGTTCCACTTAAAGAGCGCCCATGTATAACTGGAGAGGAACGAAGTGATGACTGTCAAGCAACTCAATATATCTTTCTCTCATTTTTTTCTTCTCTTTTTTTATACTCAGTTTTCTGTTCTGTTTTCAGACAACATTAAAGGCCAAATTAGCGTCTCTTTGTTTTAAACTGCTTTACAAAAAACAACCTGTTCTTCTGTATCATCATCGTCACATCAGGAAGAAGAGTTAGAAGAACGTTCTCCTTGCATGTCCTCTCTGTACGTGCTCTATTCATCTAAACTATCACTCCTCTACTATGATGATGTGTCGCAAAGTAAAAAATTGAACGATAAAAATGCAGCGTTTAATTGAAAAACAAATGGCGAACAAAATGTAACGATTTCGCAAACAGAATGAGGTAATTTTAATTACTAATTTAGCTAACACAGGTTTAAGTCTAATTCCTTCACTTAACATTGATCAATCTTTCTTTTTACGATATGCAAGACAGCCAGAAGAAAAAAAATGCTATTGAGAAAAAATAAAAGAATTTTTCTTTTTTTGGTCTAACTTTTCTTTTTTTTTTCTTCTCCGTCTCCTCTTTTCTTCGTTTTCTTTTTTTTTTTTATTGCTGCTGTTGAATAATTACAGTTTAGATGATGAATATTCAGAAATTGAATTTTAAACCACTGATCGTATGACAAGAAAAAAAAACAAATTGGGTTTTTCAAAACTAGCAAAAAAACAAACAAACAAATTACATAAACTTTAATCTTTTTTCTTCTCTTCTGCATATTTAAAAAAAAAAGATTCAGACGACAGCTACAACAACCACGACAGCAAAGAAACTTTGGTTGTTAGAACTGGGAAAAATTTGACTAAAACAATGCGTAGTTCCTGTTTCATATTGTTATAAAATGTTTATAATAATAATTTTTTTTTTTGGTACTGTGACCCTTGTCTAACTCTGAATTGCACATTTGCCACAGACAGTCGACGGTAGGGTAAATGCAACCGTTAGCAACAACACATTCCACCAGATTGTAAAAACGAGTAACAGAAGTAATCCAAATACTCATTGACACATTTGCAGTTTAGTAACATTTAGCCTTTAAGTTAGTGTGAATTTCAGCTGACAGTAGATTATAGTCTTGGAAAATATCCTCAACATTGCTGCAGAAATTAGCTCTACGACAAAGCTGGATAAGCAGAAAATGATTCCAGAAGCTCAGCATTCAGCCTTTTCCTGAATTACTCCTCAAACTTCACCTTTTCCAAACCGTTTTCTCTCTCCTTCCCTCACCGTCTGTATCGGTTTTTCTCTTCCACTTCATTTCTTCCCCTCCAGTCGTCGACTGTATAAAATGGGATAACTGACGATCACAAAACTAAATTAAGCTGTTCACCGTACACTTTGTGAGGAATAAAGTCAATCACAGTGACATCAAGAAATCCAGAAATAATAACGATAATAATGAAAATAATAGTGAAAATGGAAATAATAATAATAATACAGAAGAGGAAGGGTAGGCAAAAATAATTAAAATGACAAAATTTTACTGCTGTCAAATAGAATTTTTTTTGCATGCACTCAGTTTGATGTAATCGAAACTGTTGACTTTACAGAGACCTAAACGACAAATACAGTTGTCTTCCTTAATTTTTTTCATTTTTGCCGTCGTTGCTGTCGTTGTTACCATTTTTGCAGTTTGCAAAAGAAACGAAAAGTTTCAAGGAAAAAAAAAAACACAAACGCCAGTACAGACCAATTTTTTGTTCAACTTTGAATAAGTAAAATAAAAGTGTGCAAACTATGAATTGATTATAATTTTTTCTAGAAAAAAAAAAAAAAAGAAAAAGAAGGAAAGAAAGAATTGTCAAATAATTTTCTACTAAAATTAGTCGTTATGCTATTCACTTTGAGATTGCAAAAGTTTCGTACAGTTTTTATGAAAAGTTTTTTTTTAAGTTTTTTTTCAGTTTTTTTTTTTATTTTTCTTCTTTTGAAAACGAAGAGGCTAACTATATGTTTCTGGGAAAACTCGTTTTTTTTTTTTTTTTT